AGGTTTTTTTTTTTTTTTTTGTACTGTATTTGCTCAGAATTGTTTCGGAAAGGTAATTGTCTGATTGAGTATTGGCTATTCTTGCAGAATTTTGGTTCATAAGGAGGCATTTATATACAAGAACAATGTTCTATCCCTTGAAAATGTTCTAATCAAAATGCAAGCAATTATAGAAATTATTGCTCTATTCGATCGTCTGATTTAGTATTCGCAATTATAGCAGAATGTATTTTGATAAGAACTGCAACCAGAATTTCTCATGAAGTTTGATGAATCTAAGATGCAATGTCTTAATTCCTTCGTTTTATTACGAAGTTTTAAGGAATCTTTTTCTTATTTTTATCATCAAGTAGAGAAAAGCGTCGTTGTTTTGAGGAAGAGAATGGAAGAACTTCGATCTGAGCTTGAAGCGGCCAATGCTGAACTTGAAAACGTCAAGCAAACCAAAGAAACCACTGAACAGGAGCTTAAAGGCTGTGAAGTCGATTTGTCTCTGAATGAAACTTCAATTACGACTCTCGAGGTTTTATTTTCTATTTCTCTTACATTTCACTCTACAGTTGCGTCACCATTAATTGATCTTTTTCCTTCTTAAATTTAATTTATCGACTCCAGACGAGGATTTCTGTGCTACAAGGTGAAATTGCATCTGTTGGGTCTGAGTTAGACTCTCTTAAGGTGCTAAGATGATACTTAGAGTTCTGTATTTGTTAAATTGAATCTTCCTTGCATTTCTATTCTCACATTCTCTTTATTCGGTTAAAAAATATACTGGGATCTGGAATACGGCCGTTCGATCATAAAAGTGTGAAGGAGGAGCCGCAAGGTTGAAAATCGTCTCTCTTTTGTGATTTACAGTATATTAGAATAGTATGAAATTCATCTATTTTACAGAAGTATATAATTCAATGGCTTAAGAACACAGTGAAAGTGATGAGATCTTATTGGCCATGCAGGAACCAGTTCCTCGATCACATGTCAGAGCTTGATGAAAAAATCAGGTCCGTCTTCTGTATTTTAATGCAAGCAACTTGCACTATGCATGCCTGTACATATGCTTCCCTTTTCCCGTACCATTTTCACTTATCAATGTTCAAAATGACCTTGGGCTTGATAATTTTCAACTAGGACCTGTTTGGAAACTGCTCTCAAAATAGTTCTGTTGTTATTAATAAATTTGTTAAATTCTGAAAGCTAAATGTAGCACATTCTACTTCTAAATTCGTTTCTTCTTCATTTTTTGTTTTCTTTCCTTGCTTAATCTCTGTAGCTGTCGAGTCGGATACTCTTAACATTAAAGGCACTATTATCATCATTATTGACCCAGTATTGAAAGCTCTAGCATGACAAATTTCTTAGAGCAATGGACACAGATTTTGTCTCTCGTAAATATTAGAACAATTTGTTCTTAATTATGTAAACGGTGCGCAATAAGTAATATTGTAAGGCTATATTCCATTAACTTTCTTAATGAAACACAGGAAATTTCAATATCAACTGTACATAAAGAATACTGGTATAGTTCCTGATGGAGATGCTGCAGGTGAGTCAATGGTTTCTGTTCCAGCGTTATGATAATCTTCCCTTTTTGTATTTTGTTATAGTCAATTCCATCTTGTTTCAATTGCTGAAAATGACATCTGAGATGATGTCGTGATTGTGAGCAACTTCTTGATCCATATTCTTTGTTTGTTTCAAATTACATTCTACCTCGACTATATTTCAAATACGAGGCTTCTGTTTATGCAAAATTGAATGCCTTGGACTCCTTGCAGAAGAATCCCATGAACTGGCGGGAGATGATACGAAAACGTCTGAATCTGTTGAGGACAGGCTTATCAAAGTAATAACTCAAATAACCAATGAAGACGATGCCTACCTATTAGAAGAACAAATGAAAAATCAGGTAAAAAAACAGTGCTTCCAAATATTAGGAAGAAACCTACCTAAATTTTAATGAAAAACTCAATTTTATTTCCCGTATACTCTGCTTTAAATTTTGTTGTCAACAAATGGCCATCAATCAAAATCAAGAAAAGAAAATGGAAGTTGTAAATCAAAAGGAAAAATGACATTTTCAACAGGTTTCCATACATCCTGCCTTAATTTAAATTCATCTTCTCTCTCTTTCTTTCAGTGAAACTATATTCTTAAATGATAATATGGAATAATTGAGCTTGCAGAATCGGCAAATGTCGATTAATCTAGAGAAAAGGAAGGCTGCGATGGCGATGATGCAGAAAGGAACAACAAAATTGGAAGATTTGACTAGATATCCTTTACAAATAAACTATGAGAAATTCCCTACTAACATTCGTAGTGCTAAATCTCCTGTTATACTGATTTCGGAAAGACTTGAGCCAAAGTCAATGGATTGATAATACTGTCTTTAACTCTGAATATGTCTATAAACAATCTTTTCGCTGATTTTGATTCTTTGACCATCAATTAGCTCACTTCTGGACCGGAAGGGTCATATAATCGTCTCAGCGAGACATTGCTGAATAGTTGCATATGCCCTCAATGTTTCCATGACAATTCGGAGGCCTGGGACAACATTCCTCAGGTAAATAAGGTCATTTGAACTTTTTTAAGAAGCAAAAAATGTTTTGTAGTGTAGCATCTTAGATATGCCTTACGTGCATCTGCTGATTTCTGCTTATTGGCATGATAAATGTGTAGTTGTCGATTTTGCATATTAGCATGATAAATAAAACCGACAGGTAAACTTCAGAGAAAACTTATTAGATCCTCGCCATTCTAATTTCTCAGTATGTCAAAATATTTTGCATCGCTTTCTTTTGTTCTTGTCTAATTTTCCCTAATTTTATATTCACAAACTCAATGGAAACCCAGATAAACGGTGTAGAATTTTTTTAATAAAAGAATTGAACTGAACTTGAAAGATACCAAGGCAATTCAAGTCACTTCTTCATTTCTACATACCCAGCCTTCATTTGTCCCATGGATTTTGCATTCATAGTGATGATTCTTCTCTATCCTTTACCATCAATGCTGCCAAGGTAGATTTTGCTTCTACAGTAGTTTCCCCCTTCTGCATCATCAAGGTTAGTTTTGAAGATCAGAACTACAAGCCTCCTTAGTTTCTCATCTGAAAATTGAAATTGATTCTACCATTCAAGATCTGTTTGATACTGGTTTCATTTCTAGAATTCTGTTCTAAGATAATTTTAATTTATAAATTAAAGCAAAAAACCAAGGGAAAAAAAAAAAAAAGTGGCCTTGTCGGAAAACTATTTTTACTTCTCTAGGGTGTAAGGCATTGAAATGTTTGCTGATGAGAATTTACCGTCTGTTTGGAAAGCGGTATGGAGGGAAGAAACTTGCTGAGGGCAATAACTCTTGGATTTGTAGATTCCAGCAGCTCAATCTGTGCTAAAAATTGGGCAGAGACTGGCCTGTGATCAGAAAACTTACTCTCACTTCTGAAATAGGAGAGTTGCTTCACTCCTTTTCCATACCATAGAATTCTGTCACACCTGCATAGTTGCATAAATTTAGTCACTTTCATTCTTTAACCTCTCTCTCTCTCTTGCTGCTTTTCGTTCCATTTCTTGCAAATGAATCCAAAACTCTAGGACTTCATCTAGATTCTAGAGAGAGAGAGAGAGAGAGAGAGCTTAAAGAACGCATTGGACATGAAGGCTTCTCTCTCTCACTCTCTCTCTCTCCCTCTCAGAAATTAATCCAAACATGGACCGATCCCCCCTCCACTTTAGGATCCTCTAATCTATGATTTCATTTCATCAAGGTTATAGAAAGAGAGAGATTGATTACTTGCATTTTTTTAAGCTCTCACTCTGTTTGTTTCCAATATCTAGGAAATTAGTTGAAAACTGAAAGACTTCATGGACCCTCTAACTATAGGAACCTGTACCCTAGAACTTGACAAGGTTTTAGAGAGAGAGAGAGAGAGAGAGAGAGAGAGAGAGAGAGAGAACGGAACAGAGTAAATTGTGTTGGGATGAAATAGTGTATACCATGCTGGAGTTCTTTGCTTCTCTCCTGTTCTTCTTAGAGGACCACCTGAATAGCGATTGCAATTAGATGAAGAATACTTGTAAGTAGGTGCAAACTCTATGTTTCCTTCTCTCCAGCCCTGAAACACTCCACCAGCTTCTTGTTCTTTCCGTAGCTGATCAAACCCTTGCAATGCTTTCCAGTCTTGCTTCTTTATCAGTTGCCTCGCAAAATTGTCCTCTAAATACAGCCTATAGTTCAGATCCCCAAACCAAAATATTTGACTGTTCCACAGCACACACAGCCAAATTTGCGTTAATTTTACCACTTCACATCATAACACTATTCCTTCCCATATGCCATCCAAATATTTGACCTTTTGTATGCTAACTATCCTTTAAAAATTTAGTACTTTCTATAAAATTTATCCTACAAAATTAATCAACAATATCATAATTTAATCTCTCTATACCAACACTGTGTATCATTGGCCTTATTCAATTAATAGCGACGACAAAAAAAATTAAAAACACCCACTTACTCATGTCCTAAGATGGTGAGAGGAGGATTTGGATTTGGATACTCATCATCTTTAGGCGTTCTGGCAAAAAAAGTCCGCCGGAATATCTCGGACACCTGGTGGTTCCTCCGCCGCTCGTCCCCCCTTTTCTCTCCGGAAGCCAAATGTGCCGCCACAAAGCAAAAACTTGTCCCTTCAATTGACATACTCACTGAAACTGACCCTTTATTACCCAAATAACCCATTATTCCACAGGCCACTGAACAAACTTTAACATTCGAAATGTAATATTTCCTCAGCAAATCTCTCCTTATCCATACGCTTGTAAACACTCCCACCATCTTCTTGCTTGCCAACAAAACATATCTGCTCCCGCCGAAAAGCTGGTTCGCCGGAATTCTCGCTGGGAATTTGATCGGCGTTTGATCTCCGGCGAAACTTATCGGTTTTTTGGGGTTTCTTGTGTAGTCCTCGTCGCCGGTGCCTGTGTTCATCATCATTGGCGTCAGCCATGGACATCCGTATTTGTCGTTTAGAATTTTTCCGATCAGTAAATTCCAGTTCGTTGCTTTGGATTTGTCCTCTGCTCCGACCACTGTCCTTGTTTTCAATGGTACAATCTCTTGAAATCTTCCCTCCAAAAACAGAGGAAAACAAAGCAATTGAAATTTAGAGCCCAAACTGTTGAAAAAGAGTTCTGTTTTTTTCTGGATCTATAAACATACCCGAGAACATATATATCTGCTGCATCTTTGAGGTTGAGCCAATCGTCTAAATCGACGGCTAAGCTTCCGACCGGTGATCTTCCGGCTACATTCCAAGTACCCACAAAGATTCTGATTCATTTGAGGAAAATTTATTCAGAATCAAGAAAAAAAAAATGATCACAGAGAAACTATGACTCAAATTCTTTATTTCCTTGGCCACCTTAATTCATTGCTTAATTTGCATGGACCCATATCGACCGACTGAGAGAGGACATCCTTCAGAAAGGTTTCTCTTTCATAATCATCTCCATCTGTAACAAACCCTCAGTAAGCCTCAAAATGGACATTAACTGAATTAAATCAATAAATATTTACAAAATGAACCTGAAATTTCATTGTTGGGACAACATGGGTCAGCTCTCTGGTGTTTTGCAGGAGTGAACCAGTACTTGCGGAACCTACTGGATTTGGACTCATGGCTCTCCCTCTCCATTACTTTGAAGAAGAAAATTGATGGTATTGTTTAAATTCGTATGAGCTGGTATCCCACACATTAATACTCTGATCCATACTGCCTAATTCTCAAAGCTTTTTGGTAACAATAATTTATTTCCCTTTTTCTCTTGACTTTGACCACTTCTTCTAAACTTCAATGGTGAGCAATAATTCTTCACAAACCTTCATACTTACCACCCAATTCTTTCCAGTAGAGAGAGAAATTAGAAAGATAGACTTGAAAAAGGAGAACCCAATTGGGGTTCTTCAACAAAGAAACTGCAGGCGGCAACTCCTAGAGAGATAGAGAGAGAGAGAGAGAGAGAGAGAGAGAAGTCAAAGGTGGTTAGGAGAGAGAAATTCGTCTGATTTTTTTATTTGGGTGAAGTCTTTGTAGAGAGCAGTATATTTGATGGGGTGTAGTTGAGGAGGGGAAGACAGCGAGTAGTGAAAGGAACCTTAAAGAGACATAAACCTCACAATGTGTTATGATGCAATATTAGAAGAAGGATTTTGATTAAATTGGCAGCTGTTCTGTTTGGTAGTGGGAGTCATGTCTGTCTTGTGAATTATTTTCTATTTTTAATAACGTGACAATTTTTATTTTTGTGTACTGCTTATCATGTGTACCAATGTCAATCACTCCTTTCTTCTTTTATTGACTCCCTTTTCCTTTCATCTCTCTAATCGGAACATCTTTTTGCTTGTCACAGTAATGCTCGCACATCTCTCTTGGAAGATTCCATCTCACTCTGGGATTTCCTTGAGAGCATTTCAATCCCAGAGTGTAGAAAGTACGAGTTTTTGTAGTTAGCGAAGTTGAAAACTAGAAAAACTCGAGTTTTGTGTAGTTTTAGGCCTCTTTTTTTTTTTTCAGGGTAATAAATGTTGCAAATTTGTAGACTTCGGAATAGTATACTTAAACTGAATATCTCCAACTTTTATAGTCATAGTGTGATTTGAGGTATGTCAGTCAGAGTAGTTTATGTTTGATCACCTAACATATATTTAGTTTATAAATTTGTGATTTAGTTTAGATAACATAATGTTGATTACATAATTCGCAGTTATGTTTGAATAAATTTATGTAGTGTTTATCAAACTTAAGGATATGTATCTGTCAATTTTAATAGTCTAAATCAAATGTTTCTTAGAGGATGAGCGACATATATATATATATTAGGAAATTACCTCGAGCTTTTATACACTATTTATGTAATGGTATTAAACACTATTACCTCGAGCTTGACTTTTCTCACTAAATTTCTTCTATTTTTATTCACTTAGCTCTTAAAAGTTTCTCTAAATTCTCCTTTTCCCTGGGATTTGAACGTAATAAAATAAATAACCAAATAAATCATAAAAGTTCATTTAATCAACATTCCATTCATTTACTTTATCATTATTATTTAGTTACCTAACCGTTCAAATTTAAAGAAGAAAAAAGTAGACATACTTTATTGCCAATACTCCACTTTAATCAATTAATTTTTACTAACTATAAATGTCATTATCTCAAGTCGTACACTTTGAAAAATGAGTTAAATATAATTTTTACTTCCTATTCAATTTTTATTTTATTTATATATTCATTTCTAAACCATACAAAAATTTCTCTCACCACACCATTTTCAACTAAAATCAGTCCTAATCAATTAAATTCAACAAATATATATATATATGTGTATATGTATAGCCCAACTTTTGTTCTACTCTGAAGCCTATCAATTTACTGTCATCTTCTTTGTTTGATAATCTATTAAATGTATGTGAAGACTTTTTTTTTTAAATTATTATTAGGTGTATTAGATGATGAAAGTCCCACTAATTTAGAGAATGATTATGAGTTTATAAACAAAAAATATTCTCTCCATTGGTATGAGTCATTTTGAGGAAGCCCAAAGCAAAACTAGGAGAGCTTATGCTCTAAGTGAACAATATCGTACATCGTAAACAAAACCCTAGAAAAGAAAATTAATATTAATCCAAATTTGAACGCTAATTTGACTTTTAATTTATAATATTTAGAGTAAAAAAATTGAATTTTTAGTCTTAATCAATGACACCGGTCATTTACTATTAAAAAGTTGTCCTCGTTCTAGCTAAACACAAAGTTGGAAAATTTAAAACAAAAATTGACCCTAATGGGGATGGATGAATTTGGTGAAGTAGGCCCTTAAATAATCACTCACTGTTGTTTCTCTATTATGATATGTGCTGGAAAAAGTTATGATATTATTTAAGATCACTCCATTCTTCACCTTACCACTTTTATTATTTCATCTAATATTAATCGAAATACTCAACCCTCGTATACTATATTTTCATATAAAGGTAAGACACTCATGTGAGACTAACAGCAGCATCGCACATCCCGTGACCGTGGCACATGCATAAGATAGTTGTTTTCCATTCGTAGTATACACTAATATAGGTTGAATTTCATTTGCATTCGTAGTATACATTAGTATAGATTGAATTTTCTTTGTATTATTAGTATAGGTTAGTATAAGTTAGTATATGGTTGAATTGTAATCGCATTAATAAATCATAGTTTAGTATAAGATGTTTAATTCAAAATTGTTTTCCCTTTCTTTCTCTTGTATTCGTTTATTCACGAGGGGATAAATGACAAATTTATGTTGCATTAATAATAAGAGTCCATTAAATTCGACATTAAAAGTAGGGGTGTTAAGGTAAATTCCATATAGTAATGACCTTAGATTAAATAGAAAAATTTTAGGGTCGTTATAGTTAGTATATTTAATTATTGTAGGTGGAAGTTTGGATGGGTTACCACCCTAATTTTCTGCTAAAACAAAGTCATTATTATATGCCATTTCAAAAAATGATGTCAAAGATTTACATATTTGTATAAGAGTCTTAAAATAAAGCAAGAGAAATATTCAAAACAAATTAAAAATAAACCAAAGGAAGAGAGTAAAAAGAATAATACCCGAACACTAACATAAGGTCTACAAAATAAATGCAACTATCCTATGTAGGTTTCATGGTTTTTAATGCGACATCATCGTCAACGTACAAGGGTGCCTCGTCTTTACCTAAAATATAAGAGCAACACAAGGATTGAGGTTATGTTAGGCAATGAAACCACATGCAACATGAATGGGATTATCATTCAAAACCATATTCTCTTAGGTAGCTTTCTGGGTCATTACTCAACGCATGGCCCACACGTACGAATATGGACCCACCAGGCGATTCACACACCCCTGAGCCTCTTGCTGATCGAGATAGCATCTCTAGTGTTGTTGCCAAACACCTAAAAGGAATAACAACCATTGTAGCATCAGGATAATCATGATGATCATTTCCCTCTACATAACGCATAACGTACATGTCTGTATTTATCATAAGGGGAAGTATTTTGATGCACTTAAACATACATTCATGCATAAAGTCTCAACATTTTTCTTTGTAAATAAATCAAGCAAGATAATTACTTTTTTTCAACTTCATTTCATTCATAACATAACCTTTAAAACATGTCTCAAGGGTGGTAGGTCATAAATCTCATTATCTCAAAACATTTCATCGCATGTCATACATGTTATGATCCAACGTAATCATGTCACAGTATATCATGACATTTCATAGCATATCATAATTCATCAAACCATAATATGTTATCCATTTGTATTTTAATGTTACTAGTCATATCTTAGAACAAACCATATCATATCGTTGAAACATATCGTATTATAAAGCATAACAAACATATTAAATATACGGTAGGACCATTGGGCACATGTCATCGTAGAAAAGACAACTCTTCCAATCATATCGATAATAGAGCCAATTACTTGATTGGTCTAGACAGAAACTAGTACGACCCCTAGAAATTTAATTCTATCTAAGGAGTCGTAGAATTATAATTATAAAATAATTTAAACGAGCTAAACTTAATTTTCATAAAATAATTTAAACTAAAATTAATTTAACATCAAACTAGTTAAATCTAATTCCGCATAAAATAATTTATATACAAATAAAAAAAAATCTATTTTTTTCGTATGCTTTAATTTATACAAGGTTTATCTTTTTTTCAAACGTATTATGCATATGTTTTGTAATCTATAATTTATTGAATATATATATATATATAAATTTTTATAATATTTAAACATGAAAGACAAAATTCATTACATATAGATAGGGGTGTTTATATGACTCGATAATCCGACCAATTCAGACTATTCCAATTCTACTTAAATTCTTTTCTTGTAAATTCTGTTTGAATTGCCCTATGACATTTTTATAGTCGGATAAATGTCGGATAAACCTGACCAACCCTAAAGTTACCATCCAACTAAATCCAAATTTTAAAAAGATTAAGAATTTTTAACGTTATATTGTGATTTGTAAATGTTTGATATTTAAAATTTATGAGGTTTTAGTTATTAATATAATATTATTTTGGATAAGTAAGAATTTTGTTTTAATAATTATATATATATATATATATCTAATAATAATAATAATAAATGGATAATTCAACTCAAAAATAGAGAGTTAGGTTGGATTGTAAACTTTATACGTTTGCTCGAGTTAAAAATTTTGAATTTCTCCAAAAAAAAAAAAATTAACCCAACGCACATAGCTATTGACACACGCTCGCTCATAAAATAAACTTAAAAAATGTTAATACATAAATTGAGAGGGACTAAATTAACAAAATATTCATATATATATATATATATATATATATATATATATATATGTGTGTGTGTGTGTGGAGGAGGGGTTGTTTGGTTGGGGAAGTATTATCCCTACATTTGTAAAGTAATGTATGGTTTGGTTTCATAATCACCAAATAGTGACTTAAAATGTGTCTCCAAATGTCTACTTCTTCTATTTATTTCTTTCATACTCATTTCATTTAATCCATACATAAAACCCATATTTTTATATTGTTTTATGCTCTTAAAAATAAATATTAATTCTCTCTCCCTCTTAGGGGTAAATTTGTAATTTTGCCTCGAATGCAGCTCCTTATTTCCGAACGTGAGTTTGTTTAGAATTATGCAGTTATCGCCGTCAATATTTCCATAAGAAGAGAAGTCAACAAACTAAAATCATACATTATCAACTAAGAATAAGAGCGATGATTTTAATATGAAAAGCTAACACAGAGTGATTGTGAGGCATTTGAATGAGAAAATTAATTGGAAGACCCAGGAGTAACATCATTGTGAGAAAACCACATATTCGAACTCCAACAATTGTGGCTCACGTATAGTTGGCTCGGGCTAGATTCGATCGACTTAAAGAGCTCAAGTTGTTGTATGCTCTTTTGGATTGTTTTAATATGGGTACTATTTTTTAGAATGAATAATATTTAACATAGTTTATCGGACAATTTTAGGAAATTTAAACACTCCATGCTCAATTTTCTAATGGAATAGAATGCCATGAGATTAAATGAACTTACTATTGGAGCGTCTACAGGTTACAAGTGCATGTAACCTCGTGCATGTTGCATTTCATATGATCAAGGATTACTTCTCTAGCATGTAAGGTACGAATGCGTACACCATGATACTTTATTCACGTTCCTCTCTTTTTCACTAGTTTTTGACGGAGTTAGCATATGCTAGTCCATAGTTAGGCAAAGAGGCGTTAACAAGCCCACCTAATGAGTTCATAAACAAAGAATACTAGGATTATATATTCAATTTCAATCTATATATATATATATATCAAATGAAAGCTGTCAATGTCATTTACATGTGTGCGTGTAAAAAAGAAAGAACTCTAACCTCAAATTTGTGTATAAATAAGGAGGCATGTGAGCATTTGTTTATGAGGGGGGAGAGCAGGCTTTGCAACTAAGCCTACAATATCCAAGTTCTTCCTTAGAACCCAAGGAAGAA